TATGGAAACAATCAAATTTCAGTAATTCCTAATTCTTTCTATTTTTAAGGGAAAACAAACAAAAAAGATGAATGGTCAGACAAAGAAATTGAGGTCAACCTTTCAGGCGGAGATTCCGAACCTACTCCAGTTGCAATAAAGAAATCGCTAAAGAAAAGTAAGAAGAAAAAACAGGATTTTGATGAAGAATCTGAGGATGATACTCCAGTCCCTCTCAAAAGAGGTGGTAAAATGAAAGGTACAAATGAAGAAAGTGACGATGATAAATCCCAAAAACTTGACACTGGTGACGAATCGGATGAAGCTTCAAAACCGGTGAAAAAAAGTAACAAGGGGAAACAGAAACATATCGAAAATGAATCTGATGATGATATACCAAAGCCTGTAAAGAAAGGGGGTAAGAAAAAGGCATCCAAGAAGGAAAGGGACGATGATTCTGATGAGGAAGTTCCACTTCCTGTGAAGAAAGGATCTAAAAAGAAAAATCAAATTCAAGTCGATGAAGAGGAGGACCTTGATGAAAATGAAGTTGGGTTAAGAGAAAATGGTTTTCAATCACAGGCTCAGAATCATCAGGTTGCAGAGGATAATGTCCAAATTGATGAAAAATCAGATAGAAAAGAAGTTAAGGAAGAAGACTTCATTGAGGAATTGAAAAAAAATGAAGATGTTATTCAAGAAAATAATGATTTGGAAGATGAACCAAGTTATATAGGAAAGAAAAAAAAGAAAAGCAAAAAGAAAGTGGAGGAAAAAAAAGAAATGAAAAATGAAAGTGCAATCCAAATTACAGAGAACAAGCCTGTGTCTTCAGAAGAGAAACGGGAGATTTCACCAGTTGAACGTCAAATAGAAACTGTGACTGAGGAAATAACTGAAAAACTTTCCTCCACACACATTGGGGAAGAAAAATTGTTAGATGATATGAAAGAGAAAAAATTAACGCACAAGGAAAAGAAGAAAATGAAGAAACAGCAGGAGTATGAGAAACAAATGGAAACAATGTTGAAAAAAGGTGGACAAGGACATTCGGAGTTGGATAGTAACTTCACGGTATCCCAAGCACAGAAGACAGCAGGGCAGAAGGCTGCTTTAGAAAATGCTGTTGATATCAAGATTGAAAATTTCAGCATTTCAGCTAAAGGAAATGATCTGTTCGTCAATGCCAATCTGTTGATTGCCCAAGGTCGACATTATGGTTTAGTGGGACCAAATGGGTAAGTATGATTTTTGTTGATAATTTTCTTGTAGTGAGAGCCAATTTGTTTTCACCTCAGTTGCAATCTCAAAAGATCCAAATAAATGTAGAAAATAATAATTCAAAGGAGTGCATTATCCAATAAAGTATGATCATCAGGTGCTTTAGCGGGCCATTCTAAGAAACATCGTCTGCCGGTTTGGATAGTTGAGTTTTCAAGTTATGTTACATTTCAGTAAGATGGGGCATCTCCTCATTATTACAAGTTGATTCTAGAGTCGTGCCGAAAATTATGTATTTTTATATAAAATTCATCCGATCCGACCCTGATATCTTGTCCCATTCGGAAGTTGAAAGGGGGTTAGGAACTTTTTATGACTGCACTATATATTTAATCAGTGGTGATTGATTTTCAATTTACACCCATTTCATTAATTAATTTAAAGTTGTAAATATATAATCACCAGATTCACGTAAACTAAATATAATGTGTTAGAATAACTTGCTTTGATATAACTTTAAAGATTTTTAATTCTTGATTGATTACTCTAGACATGGTAAAACCACCCTCCTACGTCACATTGCCCAAAAAGCTTTTGCCATTCCTCCGAATATCGATATACTCTATTGCGAGCAAGAAGTTGTTGCTGATGATAACTCTGCTGTCAACACTGTTTTGGCGGCCGATGTCAAGAGAACGGAACTTTTAGCAGAGTGCAAGAAACTGGAAGAAGCAGCAGCTGGTGGGGATTTGGAGGTGCAGGAGAAACTGAATGAGGTGTATGCTGAGCTGAAGGCAATTGGAGCCGATTCAGCCGAACCGAGAGCTAGGAGAATATTAGCTGGTTTGGGATTCGATAAAGAAATGCAGGTTAGTTTTGGAACAATCCTTGTAATACAAAAATTAATATATTACAAATTTATCAATGTTATTAATCACTGAAATGGTTGGGAAATGATAAATAAGTTTTCTTCATCTTCTGAAGATGCCAACTTGGTTGGTGAAACACGCATCAAGAAGAGTATTACACATTTTTTGTGATTGGGAAACGTGCTTGTTTTGGATAAATAATTTTGATGTCAAAAATTTAATAATTTATGCTTTATCATTTCGGAAAAAATTATTCAATTTAGCCTCATATATTGTTTTAAGTTCTTGATATTCCCTCTGATATAAACCGTTTTTATATACTTTGTTCGGCTCAGATAACTCAATAACTCAGTTAACCTTCTACTAATTTCTCTCAACTCATAGTTATCCACCTGGAGTCCACAGATTTTTTGATCTAGACTTTTTTGGAAATGAAGTGTCAAAATAATAGGAAACTGTATTATAAAGACTATCAAACTTAGAATTTGCATCAACTGAGTCATACACTGAAAACCAATCAGTCTCCAACAGTAAACTAGAAAACTTCTATAGTCACTAAAATATCTCATGTATGTTTCTTGGTTATGGTCTACCTGATCATAGCATAAAGCTGCCAGCTGGAAAATGTGATCAGATATAGAGGAATGATTGATGGAATAACTAATAGGATCAGAAGTGGACAAAATGTTATCAATACATGTTACAGAATCACCCCATATACGAGTAGGTTCCCTTAAAATAGCACTAATATTATGTTGCTCAAGTATATTTATTTTATCATTACTAAACTTTAATATATCAATGTTTTTTAGTTCAATGACTATGTCAGCCAGCTTAGGCAGAGAATGGACGACATCCATGAACGAGTCCACCTGAATATCCGGAGTGCCAGCGATAGGATGAAGAAGGCCTATGGCATCAAGGCGAATGCTGGAGAATTCGAAACCAGTGACCTATTTTTGCTGTACAACCCTAAGCGACGCCATGGTTTATCACCGAAGTTACGGAACTCGTTGGAAGGTCCGTACAAAATCATGAAGAAGATAAATGACCTCATCTACCGAATCCATAATCCACCTCGAAGAAAGCCTGGGGTAGTCCATTTTAATAGATTGGCTCCTTATACTGGAAATCACGACCAAGTTTGCGCCCTTAGACCACCAGAGGATGAAATGACGTTCCAGAAGTTCATGTCTTTATACTCGAGCCTATAGAAGATCGTACATTGGGTAAGTCAAGAAGATATACGAGACCTTTTCAAGGTTCCAGTTGATTACGCACTAGTTCACTGCGTGGCAGAGAATCTCCAAATGGCTAGGGGTATCGCTGTGGTATACAACAAGAAATTCGGTCAGCTCCAAACATTACGAGAACAGAATCCTGAAGTCGAAGGAGTGCTACAGTTGAAGAAGGGTCAGAGAAACATTTTCTACTTGGTGACCAAAAAGCATTCTCGAGACAAACCGTCCTATGAAGATGTCTGGAGGAGTCTTACCAGACTGAGGGACACGATGCTCGACCAGAATCTTGTGGACTTGGCAATCTCGTAATTAGCCTCTAGGCTCGACAGGCTGGATTGGAGAATTGTGAGAAGCATGTTGGAAACGATATTCAGATCCAGCGGCATCAAGATTTTGGTGGGTGGTAACCATCTTCCACCACCGAGCATGAATACTGTGGAGTGTTACTTCCATCGAACTTCACAGTGCAGATATGGGGAGTCCTGCAGTTATCGACACACGCCAAGGATGACATTTCGGGGCGAAACGTCTTTAAGAAGGGGGCAATGTAACGAATCTGAAGCCGCCCCTGACCGATATGTCGGCCAGCAAACAAACACATGACATCACCGCAAAAGGAATGCAGTCGGCAACCGCCTGTTAAACTCTAGTTTAGTACCGAAATGACTACAGAATTCTAGAATGATCGTTACCGAAATATAAGGCCGGCTTGTCGTTCTAAGATGCAGTTGAGTTCATAAAGTGAATCGAGCAGTTAAACAAGGAATTCAAATAGTGGAAATAAATTAAGAGTTAGTTCTTGACGTTTGAAATTCTAGAAATTTTGTTTGAAGTAGATGTGTCATTAAGAGCTTTCAGCGAAGAAGATTTTGGAATATATGTGCTAATGAAGAGATTTAGTTCAGCAGGTATGTCAGAAAAAGTGCAAATTATCTCATCTACAATAAATGTATTTCCCTCAAAGTAGCCTAAGGGCCACTTTCACCAGAACAGAGATATCGGCTCGTTACCTGACTGACAGTTAGGTAATGGAGGGTATTTTAACAGATAGATTGACAGCACTTCTTTCACCAGCCTTTATTGGCAGTTAGCTAATTGTGAGGCGTTGCCATTTAAGCTGGAGTTCTTCGTTCCGTGGTCAGTAAATCTCTGACTGGCAGTGAAAGAAGCAAAGTGTGCAGTGACAGTTCGAAAATTATGGAGGGTGATTTAAATCTTGGTGAATGTTCTAAACAGAAACGTACGAGAGCCCCAAATTTTACGGAGTCTGAGAAAACTATGGGATAAGTTCAATTCGAGGAGTTCCTAACATCATCGTAGTCTTCAAAATCTACAGAGTCTCTGAAAGAATTTGAAAAGGGATGCTAGAAAAGCAGCTGCGCATCAGCGTAGTTCTTGATGAGCTTATTTTTTTTCAATCGTTTTCAATTGTTTTTTACTATCAAATGTTACTTTTTCTCACAAAAATGTGAAACCAATTTTTTTCGTGCAGAAACAACTCTGTTCCAGGTTTCTTTTGATTCTACATACGCCATGTGCTAAGGTTTTTCCAAGATAAAAAGAAGAAGACTCTTATGCTGTGTCTGAAATTACAGATGACGTAAAATATCTTTTCTCTTTGGTTTGAGTTGGTGTTAGTTAGGTTAGGTGATAAATCCAAAACTGAAAAGCCATATTGTGTTTATTTTTTTTTTGAAAATTGCTCAAGAATGTCAAAAAAACGTGGAAATAAAAAAGGAAAAAATGTTGAAGATGATTTTGGTGAGGAAGCACCTAGTGTATCAAATAATAAAGAAAACACTTTGAAAACCTCAAAGTCGAAGGCTTCCAAAAAGGGAAAGCGTGGTAAAAATGACTGGAGTGATGAGGAAACTGCGGAAAAAGGTACAGAAAGAATTGAAAATTTTCCTATCTAAACTCGATAATCTTTGTTCCAGGATCATCTGAGCCACTGGAAAAGTTAAAAAACACTGATCCACAAACTGGAGGGAGTAAAAAATCCACCAAAAAAGGTAAACATTCCTCAACTAATCTCATACCTATTAATGTTTTCATAAAAGACTTAACTTTCGACGTAAT